CGATAACCATAATCCCGACTGTATCAGAATTTCGACAACCATAATCCTGACTGTATCAGAATCTTGATAACCATAATCCTGACTATATCAAAATCTCGATAACCATAATCCCGACTGTATCAGAATTTCGACAACCATAATCCTGACTTGTGTCGTACCCGACTATATCAGAATCTCGACAACCATAATCCCGACAAACATAATCCCGACTATATCAAAATCTCGACAACCATAATCCCGACTATATCAAAATCTCGACAACCATAATCCCTGACTGTATCAGAATCTCGACAACCATAATCCCGACAAACATAATCTCGACTATATCAAAATCCCGACTATATCGAACATTTTTAAATTATTTCGGAGCGTAGTCACCTTGTGCTACATTTTTATTATTAATAACAATAAATTATTATTAATTTATTTGATTTTCTTGAATTATTCATAATAAACTTTAACATTATGAAAATTATTAAGAACAATTTAAAATTGACTACGCTCCGGAATTAATTTAAAAATGTTATTGTAGAAATTTTCGATATAGTCGGGATTTTGATACAGTCGAGATTTTGATATAGTCGAGATTATGTTTGTCGGGATTATGGTTGTCAAGATTCTGATACAGTCAGGATTATGTTTATCCAGATTCTGATAGACTCGGGATTATGGTTGTCGAGATTTTGATATAGTCGGGATTATGTTATTCAGATTCTGATACAGTCGGGATTATGGTTGTAGAGATTTTGATACAGTCGGGATTATGGTTGTGGGGATTTCGATACGGTCGGGATTATGGTTGTGGGGATTTTGATACAGCCGGGATTTTGATAAAATCGGGATTATGGTTGTGGGGATTTCGATACGATCGGGATTTTGATTGACGAGATTTCGATTGGCACCGTTCTAATTCACGTAGCCTTAAACGATTGCACTTTTAAATTTATATTTTCAATGCGTATTGCTAATTTACTCAATTATTTGCTTAAGTTTACTTTGGATTTTTTGTTTGTTTTTTTGAATATTATGAAATTATTCGTATCTTTTCAACTTCATTTGTCGTCACGTGTTCGTTTATGCAGGCACACACAGACACGTCAATCTGGTTTAATTTTGTTTTTTTTTTTAAATTTCGGCTACGTGCGTTTAACATAGGTTTTAGTTTAATTGGTTTATTTACGTTTAGCAATTGGAAGCCAAGCTAGGACAACATAGGCTAGAGTATCGGAGCAGCACGGAGAACATCAGGTAAAGTTTACTTTTAAATGTATGCAGAATTCAGAGAGGATTAGCGTGTATTAACATTGCGATTGTGTAGGAATCGACAACCACCAACTCGTGGCAGGATGTCCCCATCGTTGCAACCTCTGAAGTAAATTAATAACGTTTTAGTGAATAATTACAATTTTAAGAATGAGAGAGTGAGAGAATGAAAGAGTAAAGAAAACAAAAAATATACAAATACCAAAAGCTTTATATGTTTTAAGGAGTAAGGAGCACTCAGTTAATTACGAAGCGCACTTGGTGATTGCGAAACAAGAATTTACGTGTTTGCGATCTATATATTAAAAAAAAGAAAGTTTATCTACACATATATTATAACGTATTCTTCGCAACGCGTCAAGTGCGCAACAGTTTTTTTCTTCTCTATTATCTCGCTATATTTGCAAACAATTGCAATTGTAGTACTGAGCTAAGCAGATGTAATCATTAGGTATATATAATCAATATATTCGAGAACGGGTGATATATATATATATAAAGACATATATATTGTGAAAGATATGATTGGGCTCTTTGTTATGTTAAGCGGTGATGAGGAATAGGATCAAATATGTGTAAATAATTTGTGAATTATGTAATTATTATTTTTTTTTTTGGCGTTTAACATAACATCGTCGGTTGGGAACAAACGAACGAAACGAAACAAAAAAGGAAGCATTGATTAATTCGGGTTCGGATCGCGAACGTCGAGGATACTCGACAGGATAAGTATTTTATTTATGTGAAATAATTTTTAAAATAAAGTTTATTTAATTGGAGCGGTGGGATTCTTTTCCCCAATGATTACTATCGATGATATTATCTATTCTTAGGTGAATGTATAGACCTTATATATATGTATTTATCTATTATATAATATATATATATATAAGCTTATAGACACGGGTGTCTCGATTTAAACATAACAATATTCAAATATAGATGATTTATTTTTTAACATTTTGTACAGACAAGTTTGATCCGTTTTTTTTAAATATTTTTTATCTGCAATACAAATATGATATATATATTTATTTACATATATATTTTTATTTACGATTTTGTGATTTTCACTTCTGTGCTTTCTGTAGTATAAAACCATATGAATAAAGAAAACAAAGAAAGAACAGTACAGAAATAATGTAATATTAAAATAAATGTAACTTTTTTTCTTTATATGAATTGCATCTCTATTTTAAATAAATTTTATTGCTGAACCTATTTCTTATACTATCTTTAATTAAAACTTTTTTTATTTAACAATGAGAGTCTTAAGATAATCAATTATTAAGACATAAATTGATATCTTTTGCCATATTTCTACCCCCTTAAGGGTTTAAAGGTCACCGCAAATTTTGTTGATCTGCAACCACACTTACAGACTGTTTCCTGAAAATTCCGACAGATGCGGCTGCTTGTCATAATTAAAACGCACATAACTCGACTAATTACATTTAAATTATTAGACTAAAGTAATTACATTACATGTGGTCAAGCTATATGTTGACATGCTTGTTTGTTTAAATTGGAACGTTTCTAAGGAAGTGGATTTTGTGCAGCGCCAAAATGCCTGAACTATAACCTTTGAAATATTGCTAACAGATGGTGCTAGCTGTCACAAAACGGAAACTGTACGTTTACGCCTAAAATACAGGCAACCAAACATACACTTTGAAGAACAAATACGAAAACAACGACTTAGATAATGGCCTGTATTTTAGTAAACTTGAGCTCCCAGAAGAATGTTATACATGGATATTGATCTTGAATATACACAGATTGAAATTAGCTTAAATATTAGTTTGTATCTGCAATGGTGTCTTCATAATTGAATAACAAACTTTGGTATTTCACAAATGAGTTGGGAAAATAATGTCTTCGAAAATTGCCTGTATATTCGTATACACCAAATCTCAGAAGAATTTTGAACATTAATGTTGATCTTAAATATATAGAGATTAAAATGAGGGTAAATGCAGGCTAGTAGCTACCACAGTTTCGTCATAATTAATTATCAAACTTTGGAATTAGACAGTTTCGAAAATGACTTGTATTTTTGTAAACACTTGCATCTAGAAGAATGTTAAACATGAATGTTGATCTAAAATAGATAGAGATTAAAATACGTTAAAATATAGATTGATAGTTATATAAAATACTTTTAGTCTCTTCCTGGGGTTTGGATGAAAATTAACATTTTTGTTTTTCCAGTATTTTCAATGCATTTAGAAATGTTATCCATCTTCTTAATGAAGTAATATTTTTAGTCACTTTCAGCAGTTAAGGTTTCCACTATTTGCAAATGAAAACTGCTAGTAAATAATGCTTTCCAATTTCTGGAGAACTTAAGGTCATCAACTATACATTAGAGGCTCTTGCTATCAGTTCCACCTAAAATAATAACAATTGTACTGATGATTGTTAACTACTTACTTTATGACTATTAACAATTAATGCATTCTTATATGAAGACACTTTATATAAATGAGTTTAAGAATTGTCCCTAGTTAGCTGCAGTTTCTGTTGTATGTTTTCTGAAGACAAAGAACTTTGGTGATCGATAGTTGTTTACATGTTTCATTGGAACTTGCACAAAGTGAAATGTGAAGTTCAGAGAAAGGTTTTCAATCAGAAGAATGTAGAATAAACAGAAAATCAAAAAATTACCTTTAAATTTAACTTGCAACAGTAGCTGTAACAATGACAATTCGCTCACTCACAAAAACGTAAATTTCAAAATTTCAAATTACAACCAATCAGGAACGACCGATGCTAGGAGCTCAGATACCTCCTCGCTACTCCTGTTCTCCTGGTGCAAATCGAAATTTTCTGTCATTTTCGAGAATCAAGTGGCGGGGACTTGCGTTTTGATTCGCAAAAACCGCCAACTCATTAAAGCTTAATAACTTTCTTATTAATTGACCAAAACTAATATATTTTATAGCAAATGAAAGCGAAAGAATTATTCTTTAAAACAGTAAACTAAAATTTTCAAATATATATGAATATAACCATTTATTTAACTATTTTTTTCAATTTGCTGCAATACCTTCAAGTTTTTTTAAAAATTAATCGATTACCACTTGTGCTAATTAAACCATCGAATACGCAAATTAAAGACAAAACTACAACCTTTCCAATGAGCTAACTGTCTCAATCCAAATAATTAACCAATTACCGAACCTAATGAGAAATATTTTATTTAGCAACTGACAAATCGATTTACTCACCGTTGGGTCAATATTCAAGAGCTATGTAATTGATAATATATACTGTACAAATATGAATACAAACAATCAGATGTTATAATCATATATATTCCATAATTTCCATGTTTTTTTTTTCGAGATTTTCTCTCTGCTTGTGCTTATGTTTCACAGAAAGTTGCGTAAGGGTGGCGCCTATCCTGCGCAATCATGAAATTCAACAAAAGTTACGTAATTTTCGTGTAATTAAGAAAAAAAAACGTTATAACTCTTTGGATCCCAACAAAACAGCGATTTTTAAGAAAATCCTATTCACTTTTTTTCCAAATTCAACAGCTCGTATCAGGCGACATGAAGACAACAAGAAAAGGTTCGTTGGAAAGGTACTCAGCTTCCAATTGAGTGTTCAACGATGTAATTATCTTAAGAGGTTGTTGAGAAATTCACGAAATACTGAATAAAAATCGTCTATTCTTGTCTTGTCTTCATCTTTACTTGTCTTGTCTAACATCATTTCAAAAAATTTGCTCAAGCATAATTTACTCAATGAATTACGTAAATAATTCCTAACCTAATCTAATTCCTTACCCAGCTTATCCTAACTTAACAATAAGTCGAAGTTGGTATGATATTTAAAAATTTGAATTTGTTTCATGTTAATATCCTTTTTCTATGTGAACTATCTGAAGGGATATTGATGTAATCATTAATACAACTTTACATGTATTTGTTAAGAATTGTTTCAAGTCTAGATTCTTGAAAAGACTTGCAAAAAGTTTTACATAATTTTATAATTAGAAGCAGTATTATCTGTATTTGGTAAAAAGTTTGTTTTATAGCAAGCAGCAAGGCTTGATTCTTTATGAAATAGAAAATGATCAAGAGCATATTTGAAATTTAAAACGTTCTATGACTGCAAGTTTGACTGCGAATTACAAGCAAATCAGAAGAGTTACAATTATGCTCATATACATGATTTATACCCTGAATACTTGTCTTTAATTGAAGCATTCAAACATATTGCAGTCTTTCGTGGTTATCGAGAAAATTACTAAAAACTAAATACACTGCTTTTTCGACGCTTATTTTTTTCGTTTCTTCAAGTTTGACTGCGACTTACAAGCAAACCAGAATTGTTTCAAGACTTGATTCTCGAAAAGACTTGCAAAAAGTTTTACATAATTTTATAATTAGAAGCAGTATTATCTGTATTTGGTAAAAAGTTTGTTTTATTGACTTGACTTGATTCTTTATGAAATAGATAAATAATCAAGAGCAGATTTGAAATTTAAAGCGTTTTATGTACGTTTGAGAATTGCAAAATAATATAAGATTGTTGTATATAGTTCATTTGATGCAAAAACCCTATAATGCGATAAGTTTTGCGAAAAAGCAGGATGGAATAAATTTTACCAAAAAATGATGATTTATTAATTTTCGGCCGGATGAGTGTGAGTCCACGCAGAGCGACCACAGTTTTATTTCTCAATTTTTACTATTCTCCGTTTTCTTTTTGTGTGTATGTTTCGGGTGGTGAGTTTTTTTTTTCTATAGAGGAGGAAAATGGGTATGAGGCTCGGATTTGCAATTTACTGCATTTACAGACCGCTCTCGCCCTCTCGCACATGAGCCTGTGTCTGTGCAGAGGGAAATTATTTATGGTGAACCGGAGGCCTTTGGGGAATTTTAAACTGGGCATTAATCCGGGTCCACATTAAAACTAATGTCCACTCGGGACATTATCACCGTACCGCTTCATAATAAACCTCTATGTGTATGTGTTTCATCCATGTATTCACGTATGTGAACGCGTTCGTATCCGGATTAGTTCGTAGGTTGAAAAATCGCGTCCAACGCAAATCAACATTCCATTAAAAATGAATGAAACAAATCAATACGTATGCTAACAAAAAAAATTGAAATATTTGATGCATTGTGCCCACTATTCCGTTAATGGA